ACAAGTCTAAGTGGACATTCATGACATGCGGAGTCCCACAAGGCTGCACTTTTTAGAGTGGCCTTTTATTGTGACCAGCCTAAGGCACACCTGTGCAATAATCATGCTGTCTAATCAGCATCTTGATATGCCACACCTGTGAGGTGGATGGATTGTCTCAGCAAAGGAGAAGTGCTCACTAACACAGATTTAGACAGAGTTGTGAACAATATTTGAGAGAAATAGGCCTTTTGTGTACATAGAAAAAGTCTTAGATCTTTGAGTTCAGCTCATGAAAAATGGGGGCAAAAACAAAAGTGTTGCGTTTATAATTTTGTTCAGTGTATATATATATATATACACACAAATACATAATATACGGCTGAGCAATAACTGCCCCACCCCCAGTGATTTCGGCCACTGCCCCTAAAAATGTCTGTGCACGGCCCTGATACTATCCGTTCCACCTTAAAAAACGCGACGCTTCCGCGTTTGTAGCTTCTCATTCACGCTCAACTTAGGGACAGTGTGTTTTTTCACTTTTTTCATGTTTTTTAAATTGCCCGTGTTGCTTTTGTGGCTGTTTTTTTAGAATAAAAGAATAATAAACTATTTTTAAATGCAAATAACACTGACATATCAGTGAAAATGGACATTCAAAAAGTAAAGGCACATACAATATAATTACAGTATTATTTACTGACTGTGTAATCAGCTCAACTTAGGGACCATGTAGTTTTTCTCTATTTCTCTGTTAGTTTCTATTGTGTCTATTTTTAGAAAATAATAATAAACTATTTTGAAATGTAATACCAAGATATCAGTGAAAATGACTGTAAGAATATTAAGGCACATAAAATGTAATTAAACTTTAATTATTACATATGCCATTCTTTGATTAATGAATCAACTGCATTAATGAATCAACTGAATTAAAATAAATAAATAAATAATTCAAACAATTGTTACAAATTTCAGTATCCCGAGGTAACTAGAGATTATGCCAGCTCCAGCTTGGATCTTCTTATGAAGACTTCACATGACCCAACACCTTTGAATACATGACACCTACCTGTCCAAGGACTGCAGAACATCAGTTCTGGATGATTATACAAAATTATACAAAAAAAAGTTGTCACTGCTTTAAAATGCGCATTCATTTTGCTTAAATGCATATATAATATTTGTAAATACTGTAACTTGTAGCATCTTGCAACTGTACTTTCTGATATCATCTCATAAAAGACTATTGTGGTGTTGTAACAGAGAAACATACATTTTCTGTAAAGGTGCTTTGAAACACCATGTACTGTGAAAAATATATAAATAAATGTGAACTAAACTGAATTGAACTGAAAGAGCCATTGCATTGTTGGTTACTGTACAGTAGAGATGCGCGGATCAGCTCAAACATCACCCGAATCCACTGCATAAAATAAATTATCCACCCGCACCTATATTTATCTCTGATTTTGATATCTGCCCCGACCCAAACCTGATCGTCACATTACAATTACTCTAATTCTTATAGTTTTGTGTGACGAATGGTTGGTTCATTTTAACAGCAGATTCAGTTACGTTAGAGCTGATCTGCGCATCACTGCACACGTCTGCTGTGCATTACGGCTCCGACCACAGCCACTGGAGCTGATCGCGCCCACTCTAGTCAATGCTTGTGCTTGTGCTTGTGCTTGTGTTTCCGAAGCGTCCCAGAAGCGGCTCTCCGCACTGCTTCGCTAAAGATAGGCGTAAATTTTTGACGGACGCCGCGTCTAAGCCACACATAATTAGATAATTGAGGATGTATTTTATACCACTAAAAAACAGCTACAAATCATTTAAGTCTATTAAGTTTGTAGGCTAGTAATAAACACCACAATAAACAATTCAACCGGACAAAACATAACCAACTAACCCATGGCAAAATCCCCCAAAAATCAAGAAAAACACAGAAATCAACACAAACAACATCGGATAGCCAGGCAAATCTCGCGAATCTAGTTGCTGCATTCCTGGTGTGAGTTGGCACCGCGTCAGAGCCGTAAGGGGGTAACGGTAACAATAACATAATACGCTGATCGTAGGCTGCTTTTAAATGAACATTTATTTATAAAACAAAAGTTATTCTTTGGCCAGATTAGTCTACACTTTCTTAATAGCATAAACACAGGCTTAACTCCCTTCAAACTTTGTTTCTGTCACTGCAACTTCCCGAACAGGCGAACACACACACAAACACAAATGAAATTAGTGTCTTGTCTGCCTGATGAAACAAAAAGTGCATTTAAAACACGTTCATATTTTAGAGAATGTAGTTAATATTTGCATCCTTAATGATTTTTCTCATCCACCCGCGACCCACCTGCAATTAATAAAAATGTATTTTTTTATTACCCGACCCGCGGATTATCCGCAGCACCCACGGATATAACCGCGATCCGTGCATCACTACTGTACAGTTTTGATGTCATGGACACTGACAATACAGTTACAAGAGCCATTGCAGTATTGGCCTTATTTCCAGGGCACGTGACTGTTCCTATGCCAATTTTCAGATATTTTTACTGTAGCATTTTTAAGAAATGGACCCATAAGTTTGGCAGATATGACGATACAATAGGAGAAATTGCATAATTGGCCTAGTTGGAGGCACTATATCTCAGCTGCCTTTGAGGGTACGTTAAATATTCCACTGGGGCCTTATTCACAGGACACTTGACTGTTACCATGCACATTTTTTTTAGATTTTTACTGTAGAATTTCTAAGATATGGACCCATAGGTTTGGCAGAAATGACATTACAGTAACAGGAGAACATTGCGATATTGGCCCAATTGGAGGACCCATATCTAAGCTGCCTTTGAGGGTGCGTTAAATGTTTCATTGTGGCCTTATTCAAAGGGTACTAGACTGTTACCATGCAAATTTTCAGACATTCTTACTGTATCATTTTGAAGATATGGACCCATAAGTTTGGCAGATATGACAATACAATAAGAGAAATTGCATGATTGGCCCAACTGGAGGCACTATATCTCAGCTGCCTTTGCGGATGCGTTAAATATTCCATTGGGGCCTTATTCCCAGGGTCTTTGACTGTTACCATGCACATTTTCATACATTTGTACTGTAGCATTTGTAAGATATAGACCCATAAGTTTGGCAGATATGACAATACAATAGGAGAAACTGCATGACTGGCCCAATTGGAGGCGCTATATCTCAGCTGCCTTTGAGGGTGCATTAAAAGTTATATTGGGGCCTTATTCCAAGGGCACTTAACTGTTACCATGCACATTTTCAGACATTTTTACTGTAGCATTTTGAAGTTATGGACATGAATTATATGACAATACAGAAACAGGAGAAATTGCATTATTGGTCCAATTTAAGACATTTTTACTGCGACTATGCCGCCTCACAGTCACCCAATCGCCCTGCTGCGGGGGCTCTGTAACTAGAACCGAACAATGTACAGGACTCACTAAGCTAGTCGCATCCAAAAGCCATATCTAAGGCCAACACATTCTTACTATCCTCAATTAAAGTTTGGATGCGGATAAAGTCTCTGGTTCTGAAATCTTCTCTGTCAGCCTAACTATTTCTCTGCATTTATCACATGTGAATCCCTCATCACTGACAGAGAGAGCTAAAGTGTACATGTGGCAGGCAGTGCAAGTGACAATAACACAAGAAGCCATTACTCACCGTGATTGTAGAATGATTCCGACTCACCACAATTGTTTGATGGACTGTTGCTTCTCCTCCAGCAGCTGAAAATGAAAAGTATGTTAGATTTATAGCGATGAATAACATATAAACCAGTAAGTGGCGACAAATTGGTATATTGTGTTATATACAACTCTAAATCATTGACTCAGCTGGTTCATTGGCAGTCATGACAAAGAATTTAAGTAAACAAACTGCCCTGTGTCAATTTAACCGTTTTATATTACATATTTCATTAAGTTCTCAATATGCTTCATGTGAGCATTAACGTTATAGAGAAAGGGCCCGAGGCAGGTAGGGTCTAAAACTAACACTCTACTACAGTTGACGTTTAAAGAATATAAGTCATTATTCTTAAGTTTGTTGTGTTAAGTGGTTAAATTTTAAAATAACTAAAAGGAAAATATAAAACTGTGTCTCAGATTTACCTCAGGCCGCCTCACGGGAGACATACAGCGCTCGTGCGCACATTACCAAACAGGTAATTTATTTATGAAATTAATTTAGAAAACCAAAAACACAAAATACTACTCATTACAAGTGATATTTAGTGTCGTATGGGCAAAAACGATGAATAAAAGCAGATTAATAGCACTTACCTTTTACTCTGTGTTCGTTTGCTGGCAGTCGACCATTACAGCTCAAAATTATGAGCATGCGCAATACTCCAAAACTCTGTCTGCGTGCTGCTGGTTTAAATGTTCAGATTTGTCTCCCACATGCCCCCATTCAATAAAACTCATTCATTCAAAAAGATAATATGAATAATCACAATTTTGTTAAGTAAAATGTTGGGTAGTTTTGCTGGCAAATATTTTATATATTTATATAGTATTGGTATATCTCCAAAACATAAATAAAGCATATTGAATCATTTAAAATGCTTGATAAATGAAGTTAATTTATTCATAATATCCAAATGCCATATGTCGCTACAACGTTCTCGTTCCCATGGGATTAACCAGCAACCTCTTTTGAGGACATGCCCATGACGTTTCTGGAATGTTGGCCATGATTCTAAAAAAAAAATGGATCTTTACCACAACGTCCTTACAACGTTGTCAAAGAGTAATATCACACTGATCAAATAACGACGCCGTCACAATGTTCTGTTTGCTGGAATCACACCTTTATTTCATAATTCAAGTGACATTTGAATGCATATGTTCACATGTTAAGAGTGAAACTACTCTTAACATAAATTAACTCATTTAACATTTTTCACATGTTAAGAGTGAAACTACTTCAGACCTTTTTGTTTTTGTCCTGCAGCTGTGAATCTGTGAAAGGCAATGGCGTCTGTTAAACAGCTGCTTGAGAGATCACTGAATGAACTGAAAAACCCTGAACTGAAGAAATTTCAGTGGCATTTAAAGAATGATAAGCATATGTCAGAGTCTGAAATGGAGAATGCAGATAGGTTAGACACAGTGGATAAGATGGTAGCATGTTTTGGACATAAAGACGCTGTGAAGATCACAGTGGAGTTCCTGAGGAAGATGAACCAGAATAATCTGGCTGAGCAGCTGGAGAAGAATCACAAGCAAGGTAACGTTTAATTCACTGTGACTGTAATGTGACTGAATGTTTACCAATGTGATGGTTTAATTTAAGTGATCCTCTCTCTCTAACAGCAGGTCAGGCTGAAGGCAATATAAAGAAATCTGCAGCTGTTGGAGCTCATTCAAAAAAGATATGGGGTAAAATACATTCACTGCCTGTACATGGAAACGAAAAAAAATAAAAGCAAGCAACAATTACAGGGCCAAGAAGAACAGATCTTATACAAGTAAATTTAATAGAACAGAGTGTCTAGTCAGAATTTAAAAAAGGTTAAATGGTTTACATGGGTCTTAAACCCTGAACTCTGCAAGCAACTTCTACATACAAACCCCAACCTAACCCTAATACAGTTTAATGTCTTGTGTGGTGTGCTAGATGTCAATGGTTTGATCAAAAAGCTTGTAATAATTTTGGTCAGCATGACCTAAATTTGATCTGAGTCCAATAGTGACAATCCAATAAATGCTCTAGAAGGAATTAGAAAAAATAAATAATTAGTCAAGGCATTCCCATCATTGTTGTCATCTTCAGCATAATCAGTGCAAGATGTGCATGTAAACATTACTGCAGTAAGAGTATAATTAATTTGAATATACAGTAGTAGAAGCATGAATTTCTGACAATCACGATCACTTAGTCTTTGCTGTCTTTTCCCCTCTTTCTTAAAGGCTCAACTGCTCAAGCTGCTCTTCATGATTTCACAGAGACCAGCCTCAGACTGAAGAACAAATTACAAAAGGAGTACAAGCGTATATTGGTTGGTAATTCACAGACAGGTCATCGGGAATACCTGAACGATATCTACACTAATTTATATGTGGTGGAGAATGACACTGGAGGAAGAGTGGATGACCATGAGGTGATACAGATCGAATCAAATCGCAACCGATTGACTGCCAAGGAGAAGCCAGTTGATTGTAATGAAATGTTTCAAGTTCAGTGTGGCACGGGGCGAGAAAACAGAACAGTACTGACAATGGGGATCGCAGGAGTGGGAAAAACGGTCTCTGTCAATAAATTCATCCTTGACTGGGCTGAAGGAACAAAAAATCAGAATATAATCTTCATATTTCCACTTCCATTCCGTGAATTGAATTTGATTAAAGAAGAGTACAGTCTCATGGGACTGCTTCACAAATACTTCTTTAGTCCTAAAGAACTGCCCTATCTTCCTGAAGGTGATGGTAAGGTTTTGTTTATCTTTGATGGGCTGGATGAATGTCGCTTTCCTTTGAGCTTTAAAGAGAGTGACATATTTACAAATTTAAATGAAAAAACAACAGTGAGTAAGATAATAACAAACCTTATCAAGACACATCTGGTTCCATCTACTTTCATCTGGATCACATCCAGACCAGCAGCTGCCAGTCTGATACCCAGAGACTACATTGATCAAGTGACAGAGATGCGAGGGTTTAACGATCAGCAGAAAGATCAATACTTCAGAAATAACTGTAATCCAGAGGTTTCTGAAAACATTATCGGTCATATCAGGAAATGCAGGAGTCTGTACATCATGTGCCACATCCCCGTCTTCTGCTGGATCACTCTGACTGTTCTTCAGCCTCTACTGGCTCAAGAGAGCAATGACAAAACACCAACAACTCTCACAGGGATGTACATAAACTTCTTAATTTCTCAGCAGCAACAGATGGAAAGAAAATACTGTGATGACCCTCAACCAAAAGCCAATGCAAGGTATTTTGATGAGATTATTCTGAAGCTTGGGAAACTGGCCTTTCAACAGCTTGAGAAAGGAAACCTGATTTTCTACAAAGAAGATCTTGAGGAATGTGGACTAGATGTCAGTGAAGGGACAGTGTACTCTGGGTTATGCACTCAAATATTTAAAGAACAAAAGGCAAGAAATGTTTACAGCTTTGTACATCTCAGTGTCCAGGAATTCCTTGCTGCCCTCTATGTGTTTTTGAAGGGCACAGATGAGAAAGCTGACATGTTCAATCAATCCTGGAGTGATAAACTGACATGGAAATTGTCCGAAAAGCCACTCTTTCAGCTTCATAAAGCTGTAGTCAACAAGGCTTTACAAAGCAAGAACGGACACCTGGACCTTTTACTTCGGTTCCTTCTGGGTCTCTCACTGGAGACAAATCAGAGAGACCTGAAGGAACTACTGCCAGTACTAAAACTCAATACAGAGAACATGAAAGACACTGCTGACTATATCAAAAAGAAAATAGAAAAGGAAAAATCAGTAGAGAGGACCATCAATCTCTTCCACTGTCTAAGTGAACTGAAAGATAACTTTGTAGAGGAAATGCAGAAGAAACTGACCTCAGGAAATCTTTCAGCACAGAATCTCTCCTCTGCTCAGTGGTCTGGTCTGATGTTTGTGCTCCTCATGTCAGAAGAGACTCAAGAGATGTTTGAACTGCAGAAATACGGAAGATCTGATAAAGCACTGATGAGACTGCTACCAGTGATCAAAAACACCAGAAGAGCACTGTAAGAGTCTCCTCTACATTCATTTATATACAGCAGGGATGGGCAATTTCAATAGTGATGAGGGCCAACATTTTTTCTCCTTCACACCAAGGGGCCAGATAACGAATCCACACACACACCTTTTACACCATCTTACTCAGTTTACTTTTTATTAGGGGAAATCAATGTATAATTAATGTAATTTCTGTTTAAAGAGTATATTAACTATACAACTTGTGTAATTATGCTAATACAAATTGGAAACTTTGTTGTCAGTTGACATGCAATATTACCCCAACAAGCAAATGTAAACATCTCAATTGCATTGTCTGTAAATTTGCAACAAACTAGTGTCCTATTTTTTGGTTCTCATTCTCAACATTCTTGGCTCAACCTCAGAGAAATGTGCTTATTAAAAAATAGTTTTCCAAATAGTATTAACATAATACACACCCACATATTACAATGAAAATAATACTACTTTTGAAAAATGTGTAAGAACATAATTAAGAGCATACATTTCTGTCATGCATTTGGCAAAAAGGTTTTGTTGACTATGCATTTTACCTTTGAAATCTGACACGAATGCATCATCGGTGTGTCTTTCATACTTCTCGTTAGCTGCTTTTCCAATGTCGGGCCAAACCATTCTGTTTGCTTAACCATTCCTTTCCATGCCGATCCGAGCTGGCTGGATATGAATGGATATGATTTCATTCTCGACTGTGGGGCTGATAACGGGGCTCTTTGGAATCCACTGTACCAGGCTCTAGTGGAAATACAACTGGAACCATTCCTTACCATTCTGTAACTGTTCCGTCTACCGACCTACGGTGGAAAAGCAACTTTTGTGAGCAGTGCAGTGGTGTAATGGCATTTTACATTAAAATAAAAGCCAACATATGGGCGACCCCTTGAACTTGGTAAAAAGATAATCCGTTTACTATCTTGACAGAAAAACACAATTTTCGTTAGCTATGTTTACATGCAACCAAATAATCCGATTGTAATCGGATTGACGGATCAATCGGACTGAAAAGCCATCATGTAAACACTGAATTCAATCTGATTGAGCTCGATCCAAATGAAATTTCGTTCGGCTCGAAAGGGGTGGTTTATTCCTTTTCTAATACGATTATGAGTGCATGTAAACACTTGATCGGTTTGGAAACCGAAAGGACTGCGCATGTGCAATGACGTAAAACGTCCCAGGTTACGTATGTAACCATGGTTCCCAGAGGGAACGAGACGCTGCGTCGGAAAACGCTAGGGGAGTCGGAAAACGCTAGGGGAACGAGATGTCCACGCCGCCAAACTTGCAAATCCCTGCCTAGTGTGGAAGAGCACAGCTATGGCAAGAGAACAGAGGGGCCTGGAGTGGCTCGCAAATCTAGGTCATAGAACCTGACGAACGTGAGGGGCGTAGACCATTCTGCAGCGTTGCAGATGTCCTGCATAGGAGCACCTGCCAGAAAGGCCTTGGAGGCCGCCAAACTTCTTGTTGAGTGAGCCTTGACCCCCAATAGGCAACAGTAATGGCATTCACTATCCACCGGCTGAGGGTCTGCTTGGAAGCAGGATGACCTCTCTTAGGGGGACCATAGCAAACGTTTTTGGACAGACAACAATAAATAAGCCTCACAGAACATAGATCATGACCGACACACACAGAGAGCTTTGCTGAATGACAGAAAGCTAACGCCAGCTGAACCTCATGTGCTTTTAAAGCTTCCTGGTCATGACGTCACCCGCCTCTGACGTCTCGCCCATCGATTCGACTGATTACACATATGATTCAGAGCTTGGTATCGCTGAAGGCGTTCCCCTAGCGTTTTCCGATGCAGCTCGAGTTCCCGAAGGGGAACTAGCGTAATGACACATGACGCACGGAACGAGCTGTTTTTCTTGTTGAATAAAGTGTTGTATAAATCTTGTCATTATAAAACTCTCCTTTCATTCAGCATTTGTGAAGTGGAGCAGGACAATGTCCCACCATTCCTTGTTTTCATCCACAGTTTGTAACACCTAACTTTTTGATGCCACATAAAGACTGAGAGACCTCAGAGACTGGTACATTTCAGTGAGTAATTTGTATTGAATGCATATTGTGAATCATACACCCACATCAAAAAGTCCAAATACTAGTGCTTCAAAAGTTGAAGAAACAACAATTAAGTCCAATAAATCCATCACTTCATGGATATGAACATAAGTAGCATATTGCCACTAGGCGATCAGCCTTTAGAGTAGAAAATGTGAGACTAGCTGTCCTTATGTGAAACAAAGAAGAATCTGCATCAGCAAACAATTCATCCGTTGTGGATAATAGACATAAGAAGAATAGCAGATGGATATTGGATGAAGACAGTTAGTACCTTTTGTCTAGGTCCTGTTCGTATCTGTGCTGTTTCCTCTCTCACACAAGAACCCTCTCCATATAAACAAACATAGAATCAACACGTGTTTGGTGCTAATACCTCACAAAAAGCATATATACAAACTCTGCATATATACAAAACAATGGCTTATTTACATTTGAGATTAAAGACAAATTGTTCCTCAAATCAGGGCACCAACAAAGGACAGCAAAGGATAAAACATTCCATGTTCTTAGCACACTACTTCCTGCCTAATGCTACTTCTTTACCCCCTTTTAGGCAAATGAGCAACTCAGAATACAGAGTGCCCTCTAATGATAGGGCTAGCTACAACATGCAAAAATAATTACTTGGAACCAATGTGACAGTAAAACTGTTACAAGTTGAGCGCTCAGTTTTAAGCGCGAGGAGGAGCTTTTGTACATTCAGTACAAAGGCCTGCGTGTAATCCGATAAATACAAGCAGCACGGCACAAAGGTTCATATTGTCACGACCGCTACTGTGAGCAGCACGGAGCAAGGAATGAGGAGACATGGAGTAAACTTCAAATGAATAGACTTTAATATACATCCAAGGAACCAGGAACACACACGTAGTGGAGAAAGACGAACATTCAATACCGGACCAAGAAAACTAGGACACTGACTTGACGAGGGGATGATGAGACACACCTGGAAGTAATGAACAGGAAGGACTTAGAGCAGGAAGGGCCAAGCAGGACCCAGGCCACAGCCATGATGGCGGCCCATGGTGAGGCCGACTGAGGGAGGAGCCATGGAGGAGAAATGGCCGCCGACTCCAGGGGGCCGACCAACGGCGGCGGAGCAGGTGGCGGAGGAGCCTGAGACGGAGACAGAGAGCCGATGAGCCAGGGCGAAGGGGAGGATCCGGAGGGCCAAGGTGGAGCAGATGGCGTTGGCGACTGACGCCAGAGGCATGGATCCGAAAGGCCGCGATGGAGCCGGAGCGACAGGCGCAGCTGGAGGAGTGGAGTCCCGAGGTGCAAGATGGTCGACGCCAGACCAAGGCGGAGCCGGAGGGATGAGGGAGCCCGGTGGAGCTAGTGGACTGCCGGACCACGGCGGAGAGGAGGGAGCTAGGAGCCATGGTGGAGCCGACGGGTCCACGGGCCGAGGCAGAGTCCGGGGCTTAGAGGCTGGAGGCGGAGTCGAGGGAAACTCCAGCCATGGCAACACTGGAAGATGGGCTGACGGCGAGCAGAGGGGCTGCCAGACGACAGCGGTGGAGGAGGCAGGAGCGGGTGGGGAGGTGGGTGGGCATTTGTGAGCCTCCGGGTTTAACTTGGGACCAGGAGCCCTCTCAGGGCTGGACGTGGGAACAGGAGCCTTCTCTGGGCTTGACATGGGAACAGGAACTTTCTTTGGGCAAGACATGGGAACAGGAACTTTCTCTGGGCTAGACATGGGAATAGGAACTTTCTCCGGGCTAAACTCGGGGACTGGAGCCCTCTCTGGGCTAGACTCGGGGACTGGAACACTCTCTGGGCTAAACTCGGGGACTGGAACCCTCTTTGGGCTAAATTCTGGGACTGAAGCCCTCTCTGGGCTAAACTCGGGGACTGGGTCTCTCTCTCTGCTGGACTGGGAAACGGGCTGGACGGGAACAGCAGGGACGAAGGAGAGGGGAGAGGGGAGATGGGGCAAGTCGGCTTCCAGCTCTGTTTCCCAGTCTATAAGGTTCTCCTTGAAGTCCAGCCATCCCAGATGTACAATCAGCTCACCCTCAGCCGCACTCTGCGCTCTCTCTGTCCGCGGCATTCTCCCTCGTGGCGGGCTCTGTTGCCGGCTCTCGCACCTTGACTAACGTCACTTGCAGCTCCAGCTCCGCAGCGATCTGTTGCTCTGTTTGCTCCATGCGGCAACGGCTCGTCAGCTGCGGTGAGCTCGGGCATGCGCTCCGTGCAGCAGGGAGATGGTGGGCTGGGCACTGGGTCTGGAGTGGCACCAGTGTCCACTCCACAAATGCAGCGAAATTCACTCAAGGTCATTCCTCGGACGATGGTGCTCTGTACGCGGAGTTTAAACTGGCATCATAGAATGCACAGAGCACGTCATCTGATTAGCTGGAGAGGTTGGCGAGGACTTCCTAATTAATTTATATTAATTAATTAATACGGAGATCGGCTGTAAATAGCGACCTCTCCTGGTTTGATTTAGTTTTGGTTCATAATCTGAACGCAATCTTTCCATTACTTAATTTTCAGTTGCTTTAAAATGTATCATCTGAGTGGTCCAGCGGGCCGTATTTAGACATAGATGGCCAGTTCCCATCCCTGATATACAGTGTTAGTCTTTTTGTAATTGGGTGACTTGTTGGCCTAAACTGTTCAGAAAATATAGAATATAAGTAATGTGTGTGATGATATAAATACTTTTTTTTTTTTATGAAGATAACATTGTTCTAGCTCTGCTTGCATCACTGCAGACCAAAGGTTTTTTCAAGCTCCCAATTATAGATGCTAATATGAAAGTGAAAAAAGTGGAAAAAAGTGAAAGTGAAGTGAGGCCAAGTATGGTGATGCATTCTTGGAATTTGTGCTCTGCATTTAACCCATCCAAGAGCACACAGTAGTGAACACACACACCGTAAACACACCCGGAGCAGTGGGCAGATATATTGCTGCAGCACCCAGGGAGCAGTTGGGAGTTCGGTGTGGTATTGATGGTGGAAGGGAGTACAGGTTATTCACTCCCCCCACCTACAATCCCTGCCGGACCTGAGACTCAAACCCCTAACTTTCGGGTTACAAGTCAGAATTTCTAACCATTAGGCCACGACTGCCCCGTGGCAGTAATATGCATTACTGTTGCTATTTGTTTTGTTCTCTACACAGGCTACAGCGGTGTAATCTCACTGCTCAGTCCTGTGAATGTTTGACTTCAGCTCTACAATCCTCAAACTCTGTCCTGAGAGAGCTGGACCTCAGTAACAATGACCTGCTGGATTCAGGAGTGAAGCTTCTCTCTGATGGACTGAAGAATCCAAACTGTCAGCTGGAGATACTGAGGTTTGAGTTCAAGTTATTATTATTATTATTTTGCAATGAGTTAAAAATTGCACTGCTAAGATTTATTCTGTATGCAATTACAATAAGTTTTCTTTTTCAGATTTTTCACATGTAATCTCACTGCTCAGTGTTGTGAGAGCTTGTCTACGGCTCTGCAGGCCTCAAACTCCTGTCTGAGAGAGCTGGACCTGAGTAACAATGACCTGCAGGATTCTGGAGTGAAGCTTCTTTCTCATGGACTGAAGAGTCCAAACTGTCAGCTGGAGATACTGAGGTAAATGGTTTTAAATGAATGAACTATGCTATAATCAGTGGCAGACTTAACCAATAAGCGAGGTAAGTGGTAAGTACTCTGGGTTCAGGGCAAATTCCAAGCTCAGAACCCTCCCCTCAGAGAGCACGTCAAATATGCATAACGTTTACTCTGTCTGATTATATATAAGTGTGACATTTTATTTAGTTTTAGTTAGTTTAATAAATTACATAATAATGCTATCACAATAAAAGATTTTGTCACTGAATGTGACATTTGTTCTCAATGGAATGCCAGAACAAGAGACAAAACAACATTTGCAGGAATGTGATTTTTTTTTTTCATATTGATACAGAAGTATGACCCGTGTGAACTGCATAAGCCTGAGAAAAATATTGTTTTTGGTGGGGCTGAGGAATGGACTGTATAAAGAAATTGCGAGATGGCTTTAAACAATTACTGAACAAGCTATAAAATGCTTCTATGTTATGCATCCAAAATTAACACCACACATCAAATGGTGATTAAATTAATTGGTTTTGCATTTTAGTTGGCTGGGCAAATCTTGTATGAAATCTAACTGTTCGGGACTAATAGATCAGTAGGGGTGTTGATGCTAATCCACCACGGGACTCGGGCAAGAAGTGCGACAGGAGACAGAGAACAGTTCTGCCTTTTATCTGAATACTTCAATGTTGACACAGATGATACATCAGCATAGATCCACTTGATCAAATATGATACATCTTATGACCACAGACTGTCAAAGGTAATCCTCAGACGTTAATTGTGGCTTACAGATGCGGAAATGGGGCTTACAGACAGTAGTGGCACGGATGGGCAATTTGCCAGATTCACAATGTGATACAGATGTAGCAATGTGGTTTTATCTGAAATAAACAGAACAAAATATACATCAGCTTACTTGCTAGACATGCATCACGAACAAATGAATAACACTTGTAGTCGGCATTATACAGAGACTAGCGCGGCAAACACACGCATGTAAATCAACACGGATATATCGGATATTATGGCATCATAAACAGCACAAATTCTACTACAGAAACGAGCATTCAGTAATAACAATAACATGAATATCTGTCTCTTGTAATCGTAAGAACAATCAACTTACATTCAATGGCGCACATTACATCTTCATAAGATGGTGGAGCGAGTGCCTGGTGAGAGTGAAACAAAACGTAACAGCGGAAAGAAGGTAAGAACTAAACTCAACCAGCGTCATACATTTACAATAAGAATCCTCTCGCAATGCAAACACAGAGAAAATTTGAACACTAACAATGCATAGTTCAGAGCAGGGGATATGGCTTAGAATGAATATCAAACTTTGAAGGTTGAGATGTAATCATATAAATATACAGATGGTACTCAACCAGAATGCGTTTTTCGTCACTGAAGGTACCGTTGCGGTTGCAGCGAGAAATGCATTTCTGCTCTCGACTGTTAAGTGGTGCTATATAGATTTTCACATTATGGTGTGGACGTGTCACAGCTTGTTTTCACAAGTAGCAGTCAACTGTGCCATGTGGAGATTACAAAAATATTATCAATATGATTTTTAAAAGTCACATTCACATAACAAAATGTAGTAAATGTAAGCATTTGTTGTGGAGAGTGAATTCAAACAGTAAATGTCAAAATTGTGTTTACTTTTTCATGGACTATGCTTTAATGCAGTACTAATGTCCCATATTTCATTTAAAACAATATTTATTAATAGGTCTAAGGATTATGTTATTTTGTAAATATTTGTTTTTATTACTTGCTACACTATTTGTATTTTTTCATGTTAAGATTGAAAATGTATTTCTCAAAAAATTGCATGGATATTGCTGACCAATGCTCTAGTCAAGTCACCTTTATTTGTATAGCGCTTTATACAATACTGGTTGTGTCAAAGCTGTCAGGGTTTGAGTAGAGAGATGAGGCAAGGACTCACTGATGCATGAGATGGGCTTTTATTAATAAAATCAAACAAAACAGCAACAAAAGCTACCCCGTGGGGGAAAAACAGGCTGGCACAACAAAGCAAGGCAAGATCAGGACAAGGCTGACAGGACACAACAGGATACATGCGATGTACGATGACGAACTGGCATAGGACTACAAACACAAGGAGAATAAATAGGGAGAAAATGAGGAGGGTAATGAGGGAAACACAAGTGGGGCAAATTAACCAATAATCAGGTAACAAGTTGGGTGGGGTCAAGACAATAGACATGAGAGCACATGGCACACAGGAAACAAAGAGAAAAGCCATGTGCTCACACAAAACAAAAACACAAGCACATGGCAAGCAAAACAAATCACAAGCCATGTGCTTGAACAAAACAAGACATGAACACACAGCTAATGAGAATACTCATAAGCCGCGTGTTCAGACAAGACAAGACAGCACGCAGCCAGCGAAAACCAAGCTGCCGGTAACACGAGCTGCGTGCAACAACAACACAAGACAACAAGAAAAGACAAACACAACACACGTGGACAGAAGAGCGCACGGCCGAGCGAACTTGAGACCGCACACTCCCACAACAAGACAGAACATGGAGCGCGAGTGTCTGAATGATCTGAACACCACGCTCCAACATGAAACAGGGAAACAGGACACGCAGACGAGAAAAACAAGATGACAACAAGACACATGAAAACAAGACATGACGGGAGTGTCAGGGCTCTGTCACAAAACCATGAATAACACTAGACCGAAGTGACAGAACCCTGACAAAAGCAGCTTTACAGTGTTAAACAGTAAAATAGTTTGTCAATAATGCAAGAAGACAATAAGAGTCATTTTTCACGCTATAGTCAGTTAATTGATGATTCAGTGATGTCATCATCCAGTTCAGATTTCTTCCAATAGTGTCTGTGCAATCAGTCAAGCTTCCCCAACTAAGCAAGCCAAAGGTGACAGTGGCAAGGAATCAAAACTCCATCTGTGATGGAAATGGAGAAAAAACCTTAGGAGAAACCAGGCTCAGTTGGGGGGCCAGTTCTCCTCTGGCCAGACGTTTCGTGGCATGGCATGGTTTTATTCCAGGCTGCAACACCGGTACAGAGGACTCATCTGGTTCCCGTGGTCTTGTGCCGATGGTCATCGAGGTAATGAGGTCTTCACAGGTGATCTGTCTCTGGGGCGCATTTAGTTGACATGGTCTCTGCTGACATTTAGGGCTGTAGAGGTCGTCTCTTGGTGCTGATCCACCATCTGGTCTGGATATGGACTGGATCTTGGTGGCTGTGGTGATTTAGGAATAAGAATGAAAGAGTATAATATTAGCGTAGATGCCATTCTTCATTACGATGTAGGGAGTACATCGGGTGTTATGGGAAGTGTTTGCAGTTCCGGTTGACCTAATTAATGCAGCCTACCAATCTTTTAATGGATTTTAACTCTCTGGGGTCGACGGTCGCGCCGACACGACCAGCTCACTTTTTTTAAGATCAGTGCGAAAGACACTAAAAATGCTCTGTTGATTTTGGTCACACAAATAAGTGTTATATATCATTCGAAACTGTTAAGTGTCTGCTTTTATTTTGTGTACACTCACAATAACAACAAAACTTTGTGCTTTTGTAAAATAAAGAAAACAAACAGGGTGCGCTCTCTGTCTTCTCTGTCTCCGCGAATATCCATCTGAAACGCGTCATTAAAATGAACTGAAACTCAGCAAATATTTGACAGACAGACATGATAGATATATCTATAGAAAGCTTGGAGTGTCTACTTTTAAATGAAGTAAGTCTTATCGAAAACAAATATTCTGTGTTAAAGTAATCCGTATGAAACCAACATGATGTTTAGTCTTCCTGTCTAAACTCATTATCTCTAATGTGATCGCGCACTTTATATGTAAATATCCACGTGAGACACGCGCGCATGTAAACGCCCAACGTAAACAAAGCGTGAGGATAGTCAAGTTCATAGCGGCTACTGTTCGTTTCTGGAGGAAGATGCGCTGAGAGGAATAACACAGAATTTACCTCAGAAAAAGAACCAGATGCTACGCGTTGCTTCATCCAGTGGAGGAGATCAATTTAATGAGTAAGTAATGTTTCTTTTTTTGCATTCGTTCACGTGTTATTGTGACATAAACTTGAACACATTTACTTGCTGGGTTTTTCCCAAACTATAATTCCTGACTAAAATGTTTGAAATCGAATGCTAAGTCTAAGAATGTTTAGACCATGTTTATTATTAATACTCTATTCACAAATAGATTTTTATAATGTGCTAAACAATAATAATTAGTTTCTCAGATATAAAATGTCCTTTTTACGATAGTACAAAGCATGCGTGAGTCTATGACTACAAAATATGTATATATACAGATGCTCCTGATATTAACTTGATCACAAATTTTTTTTTTTTTTTTGGTCGTTTGTTTTTTAGTGATCAGATACCTGTACCACAGATGAATCCTGCTGACTTTCACTTGAGTCTCTTCAAACTGTTTTCCTCTCAGAGCGCTGTACCAACATCAGATGTTCAACTACACTGATATTCTATGGTAAAACAAGCTCCTTGACTACTGATGATGTTTTTTTTTTGTTGTTGTTCTTGAATCCATGGAAAGAAGCAGCAAACACTTAAATATCAGGTATGGTTTACTTGTTGAACAGAATCTGTTTTCAGGAATGACTCAAAGTCGGTTCACATCTCTGTTGTTAGATTAATGTGCTCAATAATGTGTCTTTGACCTTCATTATGCATGTTTTGATT